TGTTGTGACTCTATGACGTCTGCTTGTTGTGACTCTGACGTCTGCTTGTTGTGACTCTATGACGTCTGCTTGTTGTGACTCTATGAGGTCTTGTCTGTAATAAGGTCCTTCCTCAGTTCATGTGAAAAACCATCATTAAGATGAACGATATATCACAGAATCACAAACTGTCTGTATCGCGATATTTTAAGAATCGCGATAATATTGAATTGTGGCACAAATATCGCAATTTATTATTTTTTTTTATTATTATTTTTTCGCAAGATGTCATTATCACACGTCGTTCTGTGGGGAAAAAAACATGTATTATTTATGAAAGATCTTAGTCCAGGTTAGAGAGAAATCAGATTAGAGTTAATGGAATGATATTATTATGATGTGTCTGATACAGAGAGAGACCAGAGAGAGAGACCAGAGAGAGAGACCAGAGAGAGAGAGAGACCAGAGAGAGAGAGAGAGGGACCAGAGAGAGAGAGAGAGAGAGAGAGAGAGACCAGAGAGAGAGGGAGACCAGAGAGAGAGAGAGACCAGAGAGAGAGACCAGAGAGAGAGAGAGACCAGAGAGAGAGACCAGAGAGAGAGGGAGACCAGAGAGAGAGGGAGACCAGAGAGAGAGGGAGACCAGAGAGAGAGGGAGACCAGAGAGAGAGGGAGACCAGAGAGAGAGGGAGACCAGAGAGAGAGGGAGACCAGCGAGAGAGGGAGACCAGAGAGAGAGAGAGACCAGAGAGAGAGAGAGACCAGAGTGAGAGAGAGACCAGAGTGAGAGAGAGACCAGAGTGAGAGAGAGACCAGAGAGAGAGCGAGACCAGAGAGAGAGCGAGACCAGAGAGAGAGCGAGACCAGAGAGAGAGCGAGACCAGAGAGGGACCAGAGAGAGAGAGAGACCAGAGAGAGAGAGAGACCAGAGAGAGAGAGAGACCAGAGAGAGAGAGAGACCAGAGAGAGAGAGACCAGAGAAAGCATGAACGTCTCCTTTAACGTCCAGAGTTTGTGTCTTTGTGTCTTTGCAGAAAAGAATCGGTCTAAGATGTTCCCTCACCACCGAGAGCGGTAAGAAAACTCTAAACTCTAAGTTTATCTTCAGTCTCCTGCTCTGTCACCACTCACACACCAGACTGATTCTAATGTGGGGGAAGTGTCTTGCCTAAGGACACAACCACACTTTGGGCAGTTTACAGCCGCAGCCGCCCCACTGTGGCACCTGCTGTTCCCAGAGGTCTCCCATCACAGCACTAACCAGGCCCTGTCCCACAGTTTTGACGGGATAAACCACATTTATAATATCTCTAAGCAGCCGCCAAGTGTTAGTATAACTTGGACTTTTCTCTCTGGTCTCACTCTCTCTGGTCTCTCTCTCTCTGGTCTCTCTCTGGTCTCTCTCTGGTCTCACTCTCTCTGGTCTCTCTCTCTCTGGTCTCTCTCTCTCTACTCTCTCTCTCTGGTCTCTCTCTCTCTGGTCTCTCTCTCTACTCTCTCTCTCTGGTCTCTCTCTGGTCTCTCTCTCTCTACTCTCTCTCTCTGGTCTCTCTCTCTCTGGTCTCTCTCTGGTCTCTCTCTCTACTCTCTCTCTCTGGTCTCTCTCTCTCTGGTCTCTCTCTCTCTACTCTCTCTGGTCTCTCTCTCTCTGGTCTCTCTCTATTCTCTCTCTCTGGTCTCTCTCTCTCTACTCTCTCTCTCTGGTCTCTCTCTATTCTCTCTCTCTGGTCTCTCTCTATTCTCTCTCTCTGGTCTCTCTCTCTACTCTCTCTCTCTGGTCTCTCTCTCTACTCTCTCTCTGGTCTCTCTCTATTCTCTCTCTCTGGTCTCTCTCTCTACTCTCTCTCTCTGGTCTCTCTCTCTACTCTCTCTCTCTGGTCTCTCTCTCTACTCTCTCTCTCTGGTCTCTCTCTCTGGTCTTTTGTCTTATTAAAAAACCTGAGCCAATATTTATGTGTCACATAACAATAACTCAAAATCTTTGAGTAAAACATAGAAAATCCAGATTAAAGGATCTATCTCATGTCTTTCTGTGTTTGTTATCATTTCCTGTGTTTTAGCTGTTTCTCTAATCTGGTGTTGGAGAATCGACAGCTGTGTGAAGTCCTCCGGGACGTACTACTGTTGTGATGTAGGGCTGTACACAAACATATGGAAGTGAATGGAATCTAACCCCAGTGGATCTGCTGTTTTAAGTTGGATCTCTCTGACACTGGAGGATGATCTGTGCCCGGAGCGTGGCTTTGAGCTTGCTCTCTTTACGAGTAGCGCCACATCTGGGATCCTTGTAATCAGCGGCTGTGTGCAGAGGGCGGACTGGGAGGTGACTGGGTGGTGACTGGGTGGTGACTGGGAGGTGACTGGGAGGTGACTGGGAGGTGACTGGGAGGTGACTGGGAGGTGACTGGGTGGAGGCCTGGTGCGAGTTTAAAGGGCTTGAAGATTGCAGAGATTAGTTGGTGCCCATATGTTTGGACCTCTAGTGTCCCGCATTAGGACTTACATAGATTACTATAGATTGAGTATTAGTGGGGGGTCTTTATCCTGGGGTACAGCGCGGCTTCTGTCCAATCACACCGAGCCCTGAGACCCAGAGAGAGCCTCCATCTGCTGGGGTCAGACCTCAGGGGGCTCCTCCTCCTGCTGCAGACATTAAAGTGCGGTTAGTGATTCTTTAGTATTGCAATATCCCACAATTCAATATTATTGTGATTCTTAACTTTGCAAACACTGAGGACGGTAAAGCTTTTATACAGCAGAGAGCTACTTTTATACAGCAGAGAGCTACTTTTATACAGCAGAGAGCTAGTTTTATACATCAGAGAGCTAGTTTTATACATCAGAGAGCTAGTTTTATACAGCAGAGAGCTAGTTTTATACAGCAGAGAGCTAGTTTTATACAGCAGAGAGCTAGTTTTATACAGCAGAGAGCTAGTTTTATACAGCAGAGAGCTAGTTTTATACAGCAGAGAGCTAGTTTTATACAGCAGAGAGCTACTTTTATACAGCAGAGAGCTAGTTTTATACAGCAGAGAGCTAGTTTTATACAGCAGAGAGCTAGTTTTATACAGCAGAGAGCTAGTTTTATACAGCAGAGAGCTACTTTTATACATCAGAGAGCTACTTTTATACATCAGAGAGCTACTTTTATACAGCAGAGCTACTTTTATACAGCAGAGCTAGTTTTATACAGCAGAGAGCTAGTTTTATACAGCAGAGAGCTAGTTTTATACAGAAGAGAGCTAGTTTTATACAGCAGAGAGCTAGTTTTATACAGCAGAGAGCTAGTTTTATACAGCAGAGAGCTAGTTTTATACAGCAGAGAGCTAGTTTTATACAGCAGAGAGCTACTTTCATACAGCAGAGAGCTACCTTTATACAGCAGAGAGCTAGTTTTATACAGCAGAGAGCTAGTTTTATACAGAAGAGAGCTAGTTTTATACAGCAGAGAGCTAGTTTTATACAGCAGAGAGCTAGTTTTATACAGCAGAGAGCTAGTTTTATACAGCAGAGAGCTAGTTTTATACAGCAGAGAGCTAGTTTTATACAGCAGAGAGCTACCTTTATACAGCAGAGAGCTAGTTTTATACAGCAGAGAGCTAGTTTTATACAGCAGAGAGCTAGTTTTATACAGCAGAGAGCTAGTTTTATACAGCAGAGAGCTAGTTTTATACAGCAGAGAGCTAATTTCATACAGCAGAGAGCTACCTTTTATACAGCAGAGAGCTACCTTTTATACAGCAGAAAGCTACCTTTAATACAGCAGAGAGCTCTAGTTTTATACAGCAGAGAGCTCGTTTTATACAGCAGAGAGCTACCTTTATGCAGCAGAGAGCTAGTTTTATTAATTCAAGAGCATGTGTTGAATTTAAATCCCTTGGGGAGCTACCTGAAAGGGGTTGGTGAGCTACTGTATTGTGTGGGTAAAATATCGCGATACTGAACAGAACAGTCCATGTACTAACACCATGGACTTTTGGAGCTTGTCTGCAGGCTATCGGTCAAGAGTACCAGGCTGCTAACCAAATGCTAACTGGTAGCTGGTTAGCATCATGTTGCTATGGTAACAGGCACTGGCTCTACTCTGGGAGGTAAAAAGCAGAACTACTCTCATTTCAGAAGTAAGCACGAAAATAATGACAAACTGCAAATAGAGAATTCATGAAGACCGAAAGTATACAAAGGTTAAAGGAGGAGGCTTTTCTACTTCCGGGTGGATCATCAAGACTATTGGTCCTCCCAACTGTCAATCATTCTGCTGATACGTGCTCGACCAATAAGACCAGAGAGATTTGTGGAGAGGGCGGTTCTTTCCTAAAATGTGGGAAAATCCTCCTATAATCCGTTTAAATATTTACACTTAAACCTGCTTATTGTTATACAATAAACCTCAACAAGCTTCAGTAGAAAGTTCTGGATAGTTTAGAACAGATTCTGATCATCTCACTCTAACTGTGTTGGTTATTCTCAGCCCAGACCCCGCAGCAGGAGGTCTGTGTTCTCGACTCTCTTTCACATTAGTTTTCACGCTGAGCCTCACTCCGGGTTTTGGTGTCACTAATGGGGTCAGATATAAAAGTACAGAGACCGGCCACATGAGAGGCTCCTGCTGGGGCCGCGGCCTCTGGAGGGAATCCTGGTTTGGGGACACCAGAGCGGACTAATATGACTAATGCTTTTGTCAGTTTGAGGAAGTTTAGTTTAGAGAATATTGTTTATAGGCAAAACTTTGAGAAATTATTACAAAAAGTCCAAATACCTACATTTTCTGAAAATCACTTTTGTTTACATACAGCACACGTAGCAGAGAGACTATTGTTTTAACTGGACGCAATATAATTTAATGACAAAGGTGTTTAACAGCCTCACCGTTAGCTTCTATGGCTCATTCACCGTTGGCTTCTATGGCTCATTCACCGTTAGCTTCCATCACTCATTCACCGTTAGCTTCTATGGCTCATTCACCGTTGGCTTCTATGGCTCATTCACCGTTAGCTTCTATGGCTCATTCACCGTTAGCTTCTATGGCTCATTCACCGTTAGCTTCTATGGCTCATTCACCGTTAGCTTCTATGGCTCATTCACCGTTGGTTTCTATGGCTCATTCACCGTTAGCTTCTATGGCTCATTCACCGTTGGCTTCTATGGCTCATTCACCGTTGGTTTCTATGGCTCATTCACCGTTAGCTTCCATGACTCATTCACCGTTAGCTTCTATGGCTCATTCACCGTTAGCTTCTATGGCTCATTCACCGTTGGTTTCTATGGCTCATTCACCGTTAGCTTCCATCACTCATTCACCGTTAGCTTCTATGGCTCATTCACCGTTAGCTTCTATGGCTCATTCCCCTCCATCTGTTTTGACAATAACCCAGTCTCCTACAGCTTTTAAAACTTTGGAGTCAAAATACTAAGTCCATAAACTCTGCTATGACAACAGCCCGACTCTACCGCAATAAAAACACATATATTAGCCGCATCGCTGTATAAGCCTCAGTGTCAAACAATTCTAAAAAAGTCACAGCATTTACCGTAGACAGATAGCTACTTTATGGATTCCTGGGTTTCTCCGACAGGGATCGATATTGTCCCCGCGCACTTCCCCATAACCCACTGGGGCACTTTCTTTGCTCAGTCCTTCACCTCGTGTTTCCTCTCGGGTCAAACTTCCTGTTCACATATTTCCTGAAGAAAATGTGGAACGGAGGAAAAGCATCGAGGAGAAGAATCCAGGAAACATTACATGAAACTACTCTGTGTGAAGTTATGATGGTCCTGGTTCTGGCCTTCTGAACAGTAACCAGTGCTAGTTACCATAGCAACGCACCGTTTACTTGCTAGCAGTTAGTAGTTAGCCTTTAGCATTATAGGGCGACAGTAGCTGTGTTGGAGCATTGGCCTTTCAGCCAGAGGGTCGTGAGTTTGAGCCCGACCTTCACCATGGACTGCTGTCGTTGTGTCCTTGGGCAAGACACTTAACCTCTCAGCCACAGTGGGGCGGCTGTGGCTGTAAATTGCTGTTGTGTCCTGAGGCAATCTTTTGCTGTTACCGTCTATATGTGGTGTAAATGTCATTATTTTTACCTTAATTATCTATCTTTAGACTTTTAACTACATTTCATTACAGGTCTCTTGGTAACTGACTTCCTCTGGCAGTTTAAGCAACGTTTTCAGGACTTCAATAACCAGTTACCATAGCAACACACATGTTAGCATTTAGCCGTTAGCATTTAGCCTTTAGCATTAGCCTTTTAAAACAAACTTTTTTGGCTGCTACCAGTTTTAGCACTTAGAAACAAGTGAAGGTAAAACAAAAAATAAGTTATAAAAACATTTCTCACAATCTCATTGGTTTGAGTGAGAGCAGTCAAAATGGAAACATGCATACATTTCAGATAAAACTAAATCAAACAATAATAATAATACATTTTATTCATAATGGCACCTTACATGTCCAGGAAACCTCAAAGTGCTACAGATTAAAATACAAGTGTGATTAGTGTGAACTGGTGCTGAATTTAGGCCAATATACATAGATTATTACATACTTTATTGATCCCTGAAGGAGTAGAAACACATCCATCCATACAAAATAAATACATAACAAATAATTAAATCATTCTAAAAGTTCTAATTGTAGTTCTAGTAGTTCCATAATTCGGGGAGTCCTGGTGGTTATTAGTCCAGATTAGTTTAAATAGATTAAAATGAGTAGATTATAATCCCCGTATTGTGTGTTTCAGGGAGCAGCCGATCTTCAGCACCAGGGCCCATGTGTTCCAGATTGACCCCAGCACCAAGAGGAACTGGATCCCGGCCAGCAAGCACGCCGTCACCGTGTCCTTCTTCTACGACGCCAACCGCAATGTGTACCGCATCATCAGTGTGGGCGGGACCAAGGTCAGAGCCCGGGCCTGGATTAGACCTGTGCAATCCTGTCCTTAAGAACCCGGGATCATCCATCTCAGTCTGAGCGCCGCCGTGAACGCTCCTCTGCATAATGCATGTCCTCATTCATACGTGCGACTCCAGGGATCCTAATATAAAACTCATTTCCTCTCCGCACGCCGTTAGATTGGTGCTGGAGGTTAGATGGACGGATGGATAGATGAAGGTCAATTTTAAGATATTTTAAATGTACGTGTCACAGTTGGCACAGATAGAGTCACTCAAAACAGAAGTGTGAAGCATGTTTAAGGTTAAAAATATGGTCTGTGCAGGATATAATTATGTTCAATAAAAGGTGCCAATATCAGCGCTGGTTTTTACGGTCCTAGCGCAGGTCGTTAGTGACGTAAAGTGACTTATTGTACAGTCTGACAGCAGGGCCCTGTGTCAGACTTGGGCCTAGTAAGGGCCTGGGTTAGCTTTAATTCACAGATATTTTGTCAAACGTTTTATTCACTTAATTTTGTAGAAGTGGCATTTAGGTTTAGTCTGATGCTGAGTAGAGGCCAGTTTTTAGTACCAGGGTTTTTTGAGTGGACCTGAGAGATAGAGAGATAGGTCTGTGATAGAGATCGAGATAGATTAGAGAGTGGGATGGATAGATACTTTATTGATCCCTGTAGGAGAAGTCCCAGCAGCAGAATCACATCTATCCAAATAAAAAAACAAATACTTAATTCTAAAAGTTCCTAACAATAGCAGTAAAGCCGCTGTATAGAGCAGGACCGGTCCCAGCAGCAGGAGGTGCAGCTGCAGAGTCTGGTTGGTGTCCGCAGAGTCTGGTTGGTGTCCGCAGAGTCTGGTTGGTGTCCGCAGAGTCTGGTTGGTGTCCGCAGAGTCTGGTTGGTGTCCGCAGAGTCTGGTTGGTGTCCGCAGAGTCTGGTTGGTGTCCGCAGAGTCTGGTTGGTGTCCGCAGAGTCTGGTTGGTGTCCGCAGAGTCTGGTTGGTGTCCGCAGAGTCTGGTTGGTGTCCGCAGAGTCTGGTTGGTGTCCGCAGAGTCTGGTTGGTGTCCGCAGAGTCTGGTTGGTGTCCGCAGAGTCTGGTTGGTGTCCGCAGAGTCTGGTTGGTGTCCGCAGAGTCTGGTTGGTGTCCGCAGAGTCTGGTTGGTGTCCGCAGAGTCTGGTTGGTGTCCGCAGAGTCTGGTTGGTGTCCGCAGAGTCTGGTTGGTGTCCGCAGAGTCTGGTTGGTGTCCGCAGAGTCTGGTTGGTGTCCGCAGAGTCTGGTTGGTGTCCGCAGAGTCTGGTTGGTGTCCGCAGAGTCTGGTTGGTGTCCGCAGAGTCTGGTTGGTGTCCGCAGAGTCTGGTTGGTGTCCGCAGAGTCTGGTTGGTGTCCGCAGAGTCTGGTTGGTGTCCGCAGAGTCTGGTTGGTGTCCGCAGAGTCTGGTTGGTGTCCGCAGAGTCTGGTTGGTGTCCGCAGAGTCTGGTTGGTGTCCGCAGAGTCTGGTTGGTGTCCGCAGAGTCTGGTTGGTGTCCGCAGAGTCTGGTTGGTGTCCGCAGAGTCTGGTTGGTGTCCGCAGAGTCTGGTTGGTGTCCGCAGAGTCTGGTTGGTGTCCGCAGAGTCTGGTTGGTGTCCGCAGAGTCTGGTTGGTGTCCGCAGAGTCTGGTTGGTGTCCGCAGAGTCTGGTTGGTGTCCGCAGAGTCTGGTTGGTGTCCGCAGAGTCTGGTTGGTGTCCGCAGAGTCTGGTTGGTGTCCGCAGAGTCTGGTTGGTGTCCGCAGAGTCTGGTTGGTGTCCGCAGAGTCTGGTTGGTGTCCGCAGAGTCTGGTTGGTGTCCGCAGAGTCTGGTTGGTGTCCGCAGAGTCTGGTTGGTGTCCGCAGAGTCTGGTTGGTGTCCGCAGAGTCTGGTTGGTGTCGGCAGAGTCTGGTTGGTGTCCGCAGAGTCTGGTTGGTGTCCGCAGAGTCTGGTTGGTGTCCGCAGAGTCTGGTTGGTGTCCGCAGAGTCTGGTTGGTGTCCGCAGAGTCTGGTTGGTGTCCGCAGAGTCTGGTTGGTGTCCGCAGAGTCTGCTTGGTTCGGGCCATTTTCTCTGCTCTGGTTCAGAGTGAAATTCTGACTGCTTTATTAGCATTTTCCAACCCAGTGGATATCCTCTTGATCTGTTTGGTTGAGACCATCGTCTCCGCTCTGGACTGGGTTAGTGTAAAACCATGAACGTTCTGCAGTACCATCAACAGAGAGAATAAAGCTGTACATTGTTTTCTCGCAGATGGAAAATGGAACGTTTAAGGATTTAGGGCCAGGTCGCAGTGGGACAGTTCTGAGCCGCAGTGTCCGTTACCATAGCAACCCATTGTTTTAGAAGCAGTTAGCGTACGGTCGGTTTGACTCCACCTCCGGGCAGGGCCTTTCTGAGCGGAGTTTGCATGTTCTCCCTGTGTCTGCGTATGTCCCTGACTCCCCTCTGTCTGGATTTGGAAATCTCTGGGAATTTTCTGGTAAAAAAAAAAGGTAAAAGATAAAATGAAATATCCTTTGTTTTCAGAATTCAGAATATTGTTCAAGAAGAAGGGTCAATTGGACATATTTCAGAATCAAGGTCAGTTTGTAGCACCAGGGTTTTTGAGTCCCACAGAATGTCATGGATCAAAGCCAGCAGCTGCTACAGTGTCACACGTGTCCATGTGTGCAGATTTATGAATGGGATAATCGTAGTAGTTTCTTTGCACTTCTAAACCTCCCACACTGACTTTCATAATCCGTCTGTTTGATGTTAGCGAGGGATCAAACCAATCCCTACAAAAGATTTTTCTTACGTATAACAACATCTTCAATTGATGAAATATAACTGCATCATGAGTAATAGTTAGTGTAGTGAAGTAATCTAGAGTTTTTTTATGCATGCCTTTGATTTTATTCTGCTTTGACTAGTTTGCACCGAGAGCCAAAGCAATGTCCGAGTTTGTGACTTCCTGTTACTCACATGTCAACAAAAGGATTCTGATTCTTATATAGTATAGTATATAAGAGGGTAAACTCGGTAAACTCAGATTAAAGACCTCTACATGCTTTAGAAGTGTGAAAACTTCTATGTTTTTGTTTGAATGGGAGGTTAGATACTGAGCCGAAAGCCTTTATTCTCTTCCTTAGATGCATTTGTCACTGCACTCAGCCCAGACCCTCCTGCTGCTAACATGTACCGATGTATACATGGGGTGTGTCCTGTAACTGGTGATGCAACACTGACATTTCCCTCCTGTGGGACGAACAAACAATCTCCTAATTTTAATGTTGTTTTGACGGATGTGGTAGACTCTAGACTTACGCCTGACTCAAAAGCCCATAGTCTCAGCGCAGACGAACATATGCAGCAGCTTTGTCTAAATCTACGAACTGTTCTTGCGCTCCAGCTGCTGCTAACCTGCTTTAGCGTTAGCGTTAGCGTTAGCCGCGGTGTGAGCTGCTGGTGACAGCTGTGGGGAGGCCCATGGGAGGAGGGGTCTTAGCACCTCTGGTTGACCCACATTACTTTGTCCCAGAAGCTTTAGAGCTGGTGTCTGGCTCGTGCCGTAATCTTCAGCCGCGGTGAACGTGTAATCGTGTGTGTGGCGAGGCGCAGGAAAAGGCTGACGACTGCTTAACGAGTCAGAAATCACACTTATGCGTCATTAGCTTCAAAACAACTGGGAGTCACAAATGTTTGTCATTGAGAGAAATTGGGCCAGATTCAGGATTATTCAGGTCACTTTGTAATAATACTGTTACAAACAAATCGGCTAGAAAAACCCATTACTTTGAATTGATTAGTTACTATCAATATAAACTTAGTTAGTAGTGGATTTATCTCACACTGGTTTAAAAAGCAAATGCAGCTTCAACAATAATAACCCAGTGATCAGCAACACAAACATTCAGTCGCATGAGCTCTCTAATCACCAGAAATGTAAGTTACTTGAGACTATAAGTAACATATTTCTTTTTTTTTTTAAGTATTTTGTAAGATATATTCAAAGTAATTGACACAACACTGATTAATATTCACACAATCATTGATAAAATTTGCAGTTAACTTACAACAGTACCCAGTTTTCAACATACTTTAAAAATAATGTGTCCTCCCCTGCTTTCCCCTTCCCCTCGCACAGAAATGGACTAATAAAGGGGTTAAGAATGATGAATGAATGAATGAATAGTTTCTACTACTTAAATGGACAAAAAACAATATTGTGTTGTCTTTTGCTTCTCTTCTTCAGTCTGATTCTCACTTGTTGTTAAAGGCCATCATCAACTGCAGCGTGACGCCGAGTATGACCTTCACCAAAACGTCGCAGAAGTTTGGTCAGTGGGCGGACACCAGGGCCAACACGGTCTACGGCCTCGGCTTCAGCACCGAGCAGCAGCTGCAACAGGTACCACCCCGGACCAGGAGCACCTTTGTTTCAACCATAGAGTGTGTGTGTCTGTGTCTGTGTGTGTGTCTGTCTGTCTCTGTGTCTGTGTGTGTGTCTGTTTGTGTGTGTGTCTGTGTCTCTGTGTCTGTGTCTCTCTGTGTGTGTGCCTTTCTCTGTGTGTGTGTCTGTGTCTGTCTCTGTCTCTCTGTCTCTGTGTCTCTCTCTCTGTGTGTGTCTGTGTCTCTCTCTCTGTGTGTGTGTCTGTGTGTGTGTGCGTGTGTCTGTCTCTCTCTCTCTCTCTGTGTCTCTGTGTGTGTGTGTCTGTGTTTGTGTCTCTGTGTGTGTCTCTCTCTCTGTGTGTGTCTGTCTGTCTGTGTGTGTGTGTGTGTGTGTGCGTGTGTCTGTCTCTCTCTCTCTCTCTGTGTCTCTGTGTGTGTGTCTCTGTCTCTCTGTGTCTCTCTCTGAGTGTCTCTGTGTGTGTGTGTGTGTCTGTGTCTCTCTCTCTCTGTGTCTCTGTGTGTCTCTGTGTGTGTCTCTGTCTCTCTCTGTGTGTCTCTCTCTCTCTGTGTGTCTCTGTGTCTCTCTCTCTCTGTGTCTCTGTGTGTCTCTGTGTGTGTGTCTCTCTCTCTCTCTGTGTCTCTGTGTGTCTCTGTGTGTGTCTCTGTGTGTCTCTCTCTCTCTGTGTGTCTCTGTGTCTCTGTCTCTGTGTGTCTCTGTGTGTCTCTGTGTGTGTGTCTCTCTCTCTCTCTGTGTGTCTCTGTGTCTGTGTGTGTCTCTCTATTCCAGTGTTAGAAAAGAGACAACATTTTGTCTGTAGTTTTTGCCAGATTTACTGAAGGCACTTTGAAAGAAAGGATCATGTACAGCACTTTAAAAAGGTGATAAAGGGACACGTTTAATTGTATAGCATCCAAGGCAACTCAAAGTACTTTACAATTTCAATATTTGATTATTTGTAAACAGAAACGGTAAAAGAAATCACAGTACAGTCACCATTACTTACTTACTTACCTAATTTTTTTTTAATTATTTTTTTAGATAACTAATATATATATATATATTTTTTATCACTTTTATTATTAACTGGCATTTTGTTGTTTTTATTATTATATTTGTATTGTTTTTTACTTGTGTGCATAATGTTTTACTTATATTTATTTATGATTTTTTTTTTTTTTACATAAGGCTGGCAAACTTGCATATTTAAAAGTGTTGATTTTATCCATGTGGAAACTTGTTGTTGAAGGGGCGACAGTAGCTCAGTTGGTAGAGCATTGGCCTTAAGGCCAGAAGGTCGTGGGTTCGATTCCCACCTCTGCACCTTCTCCACCGACTCCCACTGATGACTGCTGTCGTTGTGTCCTTGGGCAAGACACTTAACCCCACTTTGCCCAAAGCCCCCACTGAAAGATCAAGGCTATGCTCACACTCAGAGAGCAACCGTCCTCCTGTGGACTCACCACCTGCAGAGGGTCAGTGAGGGGCTGGTGCTATGAGACTTGGGTGGTATCTCTGACTGCCACCCCCCTGACCCAGAAATGGATTAAAAGGTAGAAAATGGATGGATGGATGGAAAAAAGAACTTGTTGTATAAAATGTGCTATATAGATAAAGTGGATAAACAGTCCCAGCAGGAGGCCAGTCCCTGTGTGAATATTCAGACGGTCCTGGAGTTAGTTCCTGATGTTTTTCCAGCCTCTACGAACTTCTCTCCAGACTCACATTTATTCTTGTCTCCTCTGAAAGTTCTCCGATAAGTTCCGGGAGGTGAAGGATGCGGCTCGTTTGGCCCGAGAGAGGTCCCAGGACAAAGACTTGGCCAACGCTGCCCTGACCATCGCCGCCCCTCAGGTGAGCCATTCCGAGCCAGTCCGAGCCGCTGCCTTTTGAACCTTTTGAACCCAGGGCGGCACGGTGGCTGAGTGGATAGCACTCTCGCCTCTCAGCAAGAAGGTCCTGGGTTCGAATCCCAGTAAGACCAGGGCCTTTCTGAGTGGAGTTTGCATGTTCTCCCCGTGTCTGCGTAGGTTTCCTCCGGGTACTCCGGTTTCCCCTACCACTAAAAATATGTCCAATAGTTCTAGCATGCGCCTCCTGTACTGGCCCCGCTCCCATCTCTGTGTGGAGTGAGAGACAAATGCCCAAAATTAACAATTGTAAACCGCTTTGAGACTCAGATCTGCAGTGAAAAGGCGGTAAATAAAAGATTACTTACTTACTTACTTATTGGGCACATTATGTTTGAAATTACAACGGGATGCACTGTGTGATAGAAGTCTTAGAATATCACAGACTGGGCAGATTACATATGATACAGGGGCCAGCGCTGGTGCTTTGTGTACTGGGTGCATCTATGGCCACGACCCAGAAATGGATTAAGGGGAAGAAAATGGATGGATGGATGGATGGACAGGTGCCAAGTATCTGCGACTCTGACAATATCCTGTTTGAGAAACCTACCGTAACTTAATGATATATGGATTCATGAGATTTTAAACCTGAGAATTGTGGCATCATTTCTGCGTAGAATGTGTCTGTGCCCGGACCTAATTTTATTTTAGAAGAACAATATGTAAGATTTTCATGTGAAGTCATCATTAAAGGGCCCTAATCTGTCATCATTAAAGGGCCCTAATCTGTCATCATTAAAGGGCCCTAATCTGTCATCATTAAAGGGCCCTAATCTGTCATCATTAAAGGGCCCTAATCTGTCATCATTAAAGGGCCCTAATCTGTCATCGTTAAAGGGCCCTAATCTGCCATCATTAAAGGGCCCTAATCTGCCATCATTAAAGGGCCCTAATCTGTCATAATAATAAACTTCTTTAACTTATAACAGTAGTTCAGAGATATTTGAATTTCTAAATGACTTTTCCAGCCTCTAAATCTTCTTATTGTTTTAATTTTGATGTCCCGCCCTCCACCGTTTCACCAATCAGAAAGTCTGTGATCCGGGCGCCAGAACTCACCGCGTGGAGCTAATCTCACTGGTAAAGTACCATGTGGCGCAGAACTAAAAAAGGTCTCGTTATGATTCTCAAATCATTAACGACAAAACAAGGAATAAAACCAGGATTTCAATCTTTGTAATATATGTGAAGCAGTTATTTAAATGTCCACAAGGACTCATGTAGTAGAGGTGCAATAGAGAGAAAATGGTAGACCAATTGTACACGTTTTTAGTGGTAATGGAAACTGGAGCACCTGGAGGAAACCTGCGCAGACACAGGGAGAACATCCAAAAACCCCTGTAACTTAATGTTTTATATGTATAGCAGTCATTAAAATGTCCACAAAAATGTGCTACAAAGTGAAAATGGTAGACCAATTGTACACAGTGGTAGTGGAAACCGGAGCACCTGGAGGAAACCCACACAGGGAGAACATGCAAACTCCACGCAGAAATGCCCGAACCTAGGACCTTCTTCCTGTGATGTATTATGGTTCCGCTCTGTTCGCACTCTTGATAGAAGCAGACGTGTCAGAACCACAGCTGGGTCAGAACCACAGCTGGGTCAGAACCACAGCTGGGTCAGCACCACAGCTTGGTCAGAACCACAGCTGGGTCAGAACCACAGCTGGGTCAGAACCAAAGCTGGGTCACGTCTCTCGGTGGAGACGGAGGTAAAGTAGGACAGCGGTAAAATTATCCCGGCTCCAGCACACGCCTCACAGCACACGCCTAATTTCTGCGTTTATATCAGGAGTTTGCAACCAGTAGCTTGGGAGAAACCAGTAGCTCGCCTCCCCCTTCAAGCTAGCTCGCCAAAAAGATTGAGAAATTAATTAAAAAAATATATATATACTTAATATTTCAGATTGTGTTATTCATTATCATTATTTATTATCGTAAATGCACTTTGTCACTGCCGTTATCGACCCGGGACAGTAGCTCTCTGCCGTTATCGACCCGGGACAGTAGCTCTCTGCCGTTATCGACCCGGGAATGTAGCTCTCTGCCGTTATCGACCCGGGAATGTAGCTCTCTGCCGTTATCGACCCGGGAATGTAGCTCTCTGCCGTTATCGACCCGGGAAAGTAGCTCTCTGCCGCTATCGACCCGGGACAGTAGCTCTCTGCCGTTATCGACCCGGGAAAGTAGCTCTCTGCCGTTATCGACCCGGGACAGTAGCTCTCTGCCGTTATCGACCCGGGAAAGTAGCTCTCTGCCTTTATCGACCCGGGACAGTAGCTCTCTGCCTTTATCGACCCGGGAAAGTAGCTCTCTGGGTGAAAAAGGATCAATAGCGAACTATCTAAATGACGTCACTAAGACACGCCCCCGCCGCCTGTCAACTCCCGCCCACATGTTTCGGACAAACACTGCCGAAATGAATCAAATACCACTTGTCACTTTAGACGAAAATGATAAACCAGGGGCAAAATTCCACCATCAAACCATCAGGGATCATAGTGTAGACCAATTATAATGTTGGCTTGAATGTCGTGGTCTTCCAGTAACTGGTAGACGGTTTGAATTGATAAAAAGATAATGGTGAGGATTATGCTAACATTATCTAGTCATTTAAATTGCAATGCTAGCGCCTTCTTTGTTTGTTTTGCTGTGATTAACTTCCATTTATCAAGTTGTTTTTTGCACTATCCACTTTGTAATTAGTTTGATCATTAGTTAGCTACAGTCAGCTGATATTATAATAAATCCATGATCACAACGGGTTACGCCACTACTGTCTCTGCAGAGAGAAACTATCGGAGCTAGCCACACTCAGTAAACGCAAATGACAATCAATCAACACATTTAAATGTTAATGGGAGAATACATTATACACATTCATAACACAAGTGCACGGAGGTTTTCAGAATTAACTGTTCAGGTTTTCATGACAAAAATACTTTTTTAATGCGACTAAAGCGATCGCTTTTAGGTTAAACTATCCTCACTGTTACTCGCCTGCCACGGGAAAACCTTTGGGAACTATTTTCTTTGCACTCATTAAATAAACCTTTCGGCATGAATAGTGAATGAACGTTTATTTTGTGTGTTCAATTGGTACAAAGCCGTATAATAAGCAGACACAAAGTTGAAAAAAATCCCTCTCATCTTTCTTCAGGTGTGAGAATTGTATACTTTCTGGATTAGGACAAACAATACTAATATGGATTGATGGGGCTAACTACATTCAGAAGAGCTCAGACGGACCTGATACAGCGGTCCAGATCCAGTCCCAGCTAAACGTAGCTAGGACTGGATCTGGATGCTCCACAGTTGGTCCAGCGAAGTGTTTTGAAAAAACATGTGCCCTTTTTAACCTTTTCATGAGAGAAATTCTGCCGACCACAAGCACCCACCTGGTCTGATCTGGTCCTGGTCTGGTCCGATGTTGTGGTTTAACGAACGGGTTGAATGTTACTTTCATATAGTCCTTTTCAGAGTATCTGAAATCGCTCCGACAAGCACCATAACTGCAGTGTTTTGTTGTCACCATGATTCAATGATTTAGCCCAAGTAAATACACACGCGTATGTGGAGAACACAGTAGAACTCAACGCGTCGTACACAATGTTTGTCCGAAACATGCGCGCATGCGCAGTCATCTGAGCTATTTTTAGCACATTTCGGAAACCGGACAGTGCCCTATACTGAACCTGTCTCTCTCCGTCTCTCTCTCTCTGTCTATCTGTCTGTCTGTCTCTCTCCGTCTGTCTCTGTCTCTCTCTGTCTCTCTCTGTCTCTCTCTCTGTCTCTCTCTCTGTCTATCTGTCTGTCTGTCTCTCTCCGTCTCTCTCTGTCTCTGTCTCTCTCTGTCTCTCTGTCTCTCTCTCTCTCTCTCTCTCTCTCTCTCTCTCTGTCTCTCTCTCTCTCTCTCTCTCTCTGTCTCTCTCTCTCTCTCTCTCTCTCTCTCTCTCTCTCTGTCTCTCTCTCTCCGTCTCTCTGTCTCTCGCTCCGTCTCTCTCTCTCTCTCTCTCTCTCTCTCTCGCTTTGTCGCTCTCTCTCTCTCTCGCTTTGTCTCTCTCTCTCTCTCTCTCTGTCTCTCTCAGTCTCTCTCAGTCTCTCGCTTTGTCTCTCTCTCTCACTGTCTCTGTCTCTCTCTTTCTCACTCTGTCTCTCTCTCTCACTCTGTCTCTCTCTCACTCTCTCTCTCTCAATACTGAACCTGAAAAACACCAACTCTACTTTACTCATTTTATTGATTGACAACATTTACGGCCGAAGCTAATTTGCAAATGATTTTCTCTCCTGTTCCTGTTCTTGCCGACTAGTTCTCGCAGGTGAGTGATGTGTCCACGCTTTAAATATTATGGAGCTGTTTATGAATGAACAAACTGAACCGTTATTTCTGGACTATAAGCTGCTACTACCTGAGGCTTATATAGCGATGTGGCTAATATGTGTGTTTTTATTGTGGTAGAGTCGAGCTGTTGTCAGAGCTGAGTTTATGGATATACTGTATCATAGAAGCTAACGATGAATGAGTCATGGAAGCTAACGGTGAATGAGTCATGGAAGCTAACGGTGAATGAGTCATGGAAGCTAACGGTGAATGAGTCATGGAAGCTAACGGTGAATGAGTCATGGAAGCTAACGGTGAATGAGTCATGGAAGCTAACGGTGAATGAGTGATAGAAGCTAACGGTGAATGAGTGATAGAAGCTAACGTAAAGCTAACACCTCACCAATAAATCATCTGGGCTGTATCCGAATGTCCACACTATACCCTATCCACTCACTCACTATATAGTTCGGGACTATATAGCGACTGAGTGAGTGAGTCAGTGCACTCATTCTGTTGGCGATTCGGACACATGCACACTATTTTTAGCTCCTCTTCCAGCTCGTCTCTCGCTGCCTCCGCCATTTTACTTCCGTATAGTGACCATCGCTGCTCACTACATTTTCGAGATGCATTGTGGGAAAATTCCAGTGCACTACTTTTTCTCTCTGGACATTCGGACACCCCTACAAAATGGCGTGACCACTATATAGTGCACTATATAGGGTATAGTGTGGACATTCGGATACAGCCGTTGTGTCCAGTTAAAACAGTCTCTGCTACATTACAACATAAAAACCTGCGGCTTATATTCAGGTGTGGCCTATATAGTGGTGCGGCTTATATACAGGTGCATCTTATATAGTGGTGCGGCTTATATAGTGGTGCGGCTTATATAGTGGTGCGGCTTATATACAGGTGCGGCTTATATACAGGTGCGGCTTATATAGTGGTGCGGCTTATATAGTGGTGCGTCTTATATACAGGTGCATCTTATATACAGGTGCATCTTATATAGTGGTGCGGCTTATATACAGGTGCATCTTATATAGTGGTGCGGCTTATATACAGGTGCATCTTATATAGTGGTGCGGCTTATATACAGGTGCATCTTATATAGTGGTGCATCTTATATAGTGGTGCGGCTTATATACAGGTGCATCTTATATAGTGGTGCATCTTATATAGTGGTGTGGCTTATATACAGGTGCATCTTATATAGTGGTGCGGCTTATATACAGGTGCATCTTATATAGTGGTGCGGCTTATATACAGGTGCATCTTATATAGTGGTGCGGCTTATATACAGGTGCATCTTATATAGTGGTGCGGCTTATATACAGGTGCATCTTATATAGTGGTGCGGCTTATATACAGGTGCATCTTATATAGTGGTACGGCTTATATACAGGTACATCTTATATAGTGGTGCGGCTTATATACAGGTGCATCTTATATAGTGGTGCGGCTTATAGTCCAGAAAGTGCGGTAGTTGCATGGCCTTGTGTTTCTGTCGATGCGAGTCTTGTCTACTTTGCTCTTTTCACTCATGCCTCTGTCCGGCTGCTTTTTTATGTAACAATGTTTTTTGTGGCTTGACTCAGTGTTTTATGTGGAATCGTGAATGTGCCGCAGAAAAACAAGACTGACATTTAAATCTATTTGATATTAAAGTAATTCAGAACTAAAAGCCCAGAACTATAAAGTTAGATCTGGACTTAGAAATGTAGGTAATGATTTTAAAATATTGCAGGGCACTTCATTATAAATCTGTAATCTTACAAGCAGGGTATTTCCACCACGTTTATTTATTTATTTATTTATTGTTTATAAAAATCTCCACATATTTTAAAGTGTTTTTAGTCTCTTGAAAGTTATCTTTGAGATACAGTAACATTTGGATCTAAATATGTGTAGTCCTGATGATTTCACTGGTGCCTACTTAACCAGGTGTGTCTCTCTCTCTGTGTGTTTCTCTCTCCTTCTGTCTCTCTCTCTCTCTATGTCTCTCTCTCTCTCTCTGTGTGTATTTCTCTCTCTTTCTCTCCGTCTCTCTCTGTCTCTTTCTCTCCGTCTCTGTCTCTCTCTGGTCTCTCTCTCTGTCTCTCTCTCTCTCTCTCTGTCTCTGTCTCTGTCTCTGTCTCTCTCTATCTCTCTCTCTGGTCTCTCTCTGTCTCTCTGTCTCTGTCTCTCTCTCTGGTCTCTCTCTCTGTCTCTATCTCTCTCTCTGTCTCTCTCTCTCTCTCTCTCTCTCTGTCTCTGTCTCTCTCTGTCTCTATCTCTCTCTCTGGTCTCTCTCTGTCTCTCTGTCTCTGTCTCTCTCTCTGGTCTCTCTCTCTCTCTCTCTATCTCTCTCTCTGGTCTCTCTCTCTCTCTCTCTCTCTCTCTCTCTCTCTGGTCTCTCTGTCTCTCTCTCTCTCTCTCTCTCTCTGGTCTCTCTCTCTCTCTGTCTCTCTCTCTCTGTCTCTCTCTGTCTCTCTCTCTGGTCTCTCTCTCTCTGTCTCTATCTCTCTCTCTGTCTCTATCTCTCTCTCTGTCTCTCTCTCTCTCTCTCTCTCTCTCTCTCTCTGTCTCTCTCTGGTCTCTCTGTCTCTCTCTCTCTGTCTCTCTCTCTGGTCTCTGTGTGTGTGTCTCTCTCTCTCTCTGTCTCTCTATCTCTCTCTCTGGTCTCTCTCTCTCTCTCTCTCTCTCTCTCTCTCTCTCTCTCTCTCTCTCTCTGTCTCTCTCTCTGTCTCTCTCTCTCTCTCTCTGGTCTCTCTCTCTCTCTCTCTGGTCTCTCTCTCTCTCTCTCTCTCTCTCTCTCTCTCTGGTCTCTCTCTCTCTCTCTCTGGTCTCTCTCTCTCTCAGGACCTGGTAGACGTGCTGCAGTCTCCTCCCACAGTGAACCTAAATGGACCTGAGGACAAACTGTTCCGCAGTCAGAGCGCAGACTTCACCCTCGCCGCCGAGAAGGAGCGCATCAAGAAGATGCTGTCGGAGGGGTAACACAATACTACACAATACTACACAATATATTTGCGATTTACAGTAAAACCGTTGGAATACATGTGCAAAAGTCCCCAGAGTGTACCAGACAAATATATAACACAAAACCAGTTACAAAGTAGAGAAACCAATCAACAAAAACTGTGTCACATATTTATGGTAAACTGTAGGTGTGTAAGTAAGGGATCATTTATAGTACGCAGGTCATTATAAAATAGCTATCCCATGGCAGGCGAGTAACTATCTAACCTACTTCAAAACTTAAACTCTCTGGAACTACATTAAAAGTGAACAAAGTATTCTGAACATCAGCTGTGAGAGACATAAACTTAACCCAAATCCATCAGATCCTCTGCAAATGGCGACCGCTTTTTGTCGCATTTTTTGTCATGAAAACGTAAACAGATACTTCTGAAAACCTCTGTGGACGTGTGTTACAAATATGTAAGGGATACGTAATATACGTTATCCCGCTTATTATACAGCTTTATACCAACAGAACACACAACATAAACTTCAGGCCACTTTTAGGAATGCCCAAAGGTTTATTTAATGACAGAAAATAAAATAGTTCCCAAAGGCTTTCCCGTGGCTATGCTAGCAACAGTTAGCCTAGTAACTTCCAAACTAGAACTCTCTGGAACTGCATGAAAACTGAACACAGAATCAGCGGTGAGTGACCCAAACATAAACTTAACCTAAATCCATAATTCCATCCTCTGCAAATGTGTCCGAAAATGTGCCGGTATCTACTTCCGGGTTTTTCGGGATCGCCTTTTCTCGCATTACATCAGTGTTTTTGTCATGAAAACGTAAACGGAAAATTCTGAAAACTTCCGTGCACTTGTATTAAGACTGGATATGTATAAATTACTCTCCCATTAACATTTCATTGCGTTGATTGATTGGCATTTGCGTTTATTGAGCGGCCAGAACTACTTCCGGGTTTTTCACGATTGCTTTTTGACGCAGAGAAATAGTATTTTTGTCATGAAGACAACCAGAAAATTCTGAAAATGTCCGTGCACGTGTGTGAAGAATGTTTATGTATAAGTATTCTCTGATTAACATTTAAGTGTGTTTATTGAGCGTGGCTAGCTCAGGAGTGGCCGGAACTACTTGCGGAGTTATCCACGCATCTGAAAGACAAGCAGAGAGTGCGTTGCCAAAGGGCAGCAGTCATTATTGTTTTGAGAGGTCCGTTATAGAAAATAATGACCGGTAAAACGTTTTTAAATACATTCAGATCAATGGGGCGTTCTGCTGCTGTGAGGAGCTGTTGATAACAGGATTTTAAAAGCAGTTTTCTTTTTGTTAAACTTAGAAAGTAAAGCTCTCAAAGCTTCTTCTCTGATGGAATCGTCCCGACAGTCTCCAACGTGTCACAGACCAAAACTATTTCTGTCCAACCTCAAGTCACTAATTACATGTCTTTGAAACAGTTCAGATGTTATTTATGATTGGATCCGTCGCACCAGTCGTTTTCCGAGATAATTCACACAATAAAACATGAATAAGTCCTTTCAAACTCAAACACAATCGTCGTGACTCTGAGCAGTGACGTCTGTGGAACATGTAGAATAATCTTCATACATTTAGTTTTTTGTTTCTCAGGCGCCTTTCTTAATGCTTAGTTTTAGAGATGAGTCATTCTGCTGTTTCCCAACGACAGAAATGATGAAATCCAGTTGGTTTTAAAGTCTAAATGAGTCTGAGAGGTCTGCACCGGCTCCAGTCCTGATCCAGTCTCTGCTCTAGTCCTGCTCCAGTCCTGGTCCAGTCCTGATCCAATCCTGATCCAGTCCCTGCTCCAGTCTCTGCTCCAGTCTCTCCTCCAGTCCCTGCTCCAGTCCTGCTCCAGTCCTGCTCCAGTCTCTGCTTCAGTCTCTGCTCCAGTCTCTGCTCCAGTCTCTCCTCCAGTCCCTGCTCCAGTCCCTGCTCCAGTCCCTGCTCCAGTCTCTGCTCCAGTCCCTGCTCCAGTCCCTGCTCCAGTCCTGCTCCAGTCCTGCTCCAGTCTCTGCTTCAGTCTCTGCTCCAGTCTCTGCTCCAGTCTCTCCTCCAGTCCCTGCTCCACTCCCTGCTCCAGTCCTGATCCAGTCCTGCTCCAGTCTCTGCTCCAGTCTCTGCTCTAGTCTCTGCTCCAGTCCTGCTCCAGTCCTGCTCTAGTCTCTGCTCCAGTCCTGCTCCAGTCCCTGCTCCAGTCTCTGCTCCAGTCCTGCTCCAGTCTCTGCTCCAGTCCTGCTCCAGTCTCTGCTCCGGTCTCTGCTCCAGTCCTGCTCCAGTCTCTGCTCCAGTCCTGCTCCAGTCCCTGCTCCAGTCTCTGCTCCAGTCTCTGCTCCAGTCTCTGATCCAGTCCCTGCTCCAGTCTCTGCTCCAGTCTCTCCTCCAGTCCCTGCTCCAGTCCCTGCTCCAGTCCTGCTCCAGTCCTGCTCCAGTCTCTGCTCCAGTCCTGCTCCAGTCTCTGCTCCAGTCCTGCTCCAGTCCTGCTCCAGTCTCTGCTCCAGTCTCTGCTCCGGTCTCTGCTCCGGTCTCTGCTCCGGTCTCTGCTCCGGTCTCTGCTCCGGTCTCTGCTCCGGTCTCTGCTCCGGTCTCTGCTCCGGTCTCTGCTCCGGTCTCTGCTCCAGTCTCTGCTCCAGTCCTGCTCCAGTCTTGCTCCAGTCCTGCTCCAGTCTCTGCTCTAGTCTCTGCTCCAGTCCTGCTCCAGTCCTGCTCCAGTCCTGCTCCAGTCTCTGCTCCAGTCCTGATCCAGACCTGATCCAGTCCTGATCCAGTCTCTGCTCCAGTCTCTGCTCCAGTCTCTGCTCCAGTCTCTGCTCCAGTCTCTGCTCCAGTCTCTGCTCCAGTCCTGATCCAGTCCTGCTCCAGTCCTGCTCCAGTCTCTGCTCCAGTCCCTGCTCCAGTCCCTGCTCCAGTCTCTGCTCCAGTCTCTGCTCCAGTCTCTGCTCCAGTCCTGCTCCAGTCCTGCTCCGGTCTCTGCTCCGGTCTCTGCTCCGGTCTCTGCTCCGGTCTCTGCTCCGGTCTCTGCTCCGGTCTCTGCTCCGGTCTCTGCTCCGGTCTCTGCTCCGGTCTCTGCTCCGGTCTCTGCTCCGGTCTCTGCTCCGGTCTCTGCTCCGGTCTCTGCTCCGGTCTCTGCTCCGGTCTCTGCTCCGGTCTCTGCTCCGGTCTCTGCTCCGGTCTCTGCTCCGGTCTCTGCTCCGGTCTCTGCTCCGGTCTCTGCTCCGGTCTCTGCTCCGGTCTCTGCTCCAGTCCTGCTCCAGTCCTGCTCCAGTCCTGCTCCAGTACCTGCTCCAGTCCCTGCTCCAGTCTCTGCTCCAGTCCTGCTCCAGTCCCTGCTCCAGTCCTGATCCAGTCCTGCTCCAGTCCCTGCTCCAGTCCCTGCTCCAGTCCCTGCTCCAGTCCCTGCTCCAGTCCCTGCTCCAGTCTCTGCTCCAGTCCTGCTCCAGTCCTGCTCCAGTCTCTGCTCCAGTCTTGATCTAGTCCAGTCCTGTTGTGATTGTGGTGTTTTTAAAGCAGAATGATACATCGATTGAAAATAGACGTTCTGTGTTTATGTTTTTACTCTAATCTCCTTCACAGCTCGTGTATTATTGGCCAAACATTATCAGAATCATGTTGTTGTCTGGGGAAAAGTCAATGAAATCTGTCTGTCTTATCACTCTATACCAGGCAGATCCAACTCAGGCTCGTGGGCCAAATCCGGCCTTCAAGACACCTTTAAGTGGTCCCTAAAATGATTTTCTGTTATTATTAGAAATGTTTTATTATCCCTTATTCTGTCTCTACTGGCCATAAAAATGATTCTGATTCTGAATATAATAATAAACTTTCAGTCAGTGGCTCAGTTGGTAGAGCTTTGGTCCCATGTCATCTGCTCCCACTGAAGTCTGCTGTTGTTGTGTCCTTGGGCAAGACACTTAACCCCACTTTGCCCGAAGTCCCCCCTGAAACACCAAGACCGTATCTTCGTCGCAGTGGCAGGTCTGATTAACACCCCACCCAGAAATGGAAGATGGTTATGGGCTATTTTCTATTCATTTACTTATATATTTATTTTTAAATTTAAGACATATTAGTACATACTAATTATATATTAATTACATGTTATTACATATTAGTACATATTAATTAGATATTAGTACATATTAATTAAATATTAGTACATATTAATTAGATATTAGTACATATTAATTAAATATCAATCAATGTGTCTGCAAACAGCGTCAACCTAAATAAATATGCTGGAATTAGCACGTTAGCTAAATAGCATCCGTTGTCCTAAGGCAGGTAAGAAACACAAACCTTTGGGTAAAAGTACAAACAATAAGTCGACAAGCACAACATAAAATAATTTAAAAGAGAAAGTCCAAAGAGGAGCAGATCTATGGGAGCACGACGGGTTTGATTTTATATGTTTCAGGACTCCTTTAAATGTTAGCTAGGTCCCACAGTTTCGTATGTGTTCCGGAAAAGCGTTCCGTAATGTTGTGCCTCTGATGGACGCCACCTTTGGCTTCCAAGGCCTCTGTGCGAG